CCCCCCAGTGCATCTTAAAACAACAATCACACGCCCATATGGACACTGAAAGACTTAATGATCACTGTTTGTGTTCCTCCCTTCCATACTGGCTGTAAAGAGTTTCCCACCTAAAACAGCTGTTTTTTGTACCAAATTCCCCCTTTGTGCTTCCCTGCTGAGCTCGATGAAGGAGCAGTGACACAAAGAGGGAACGTAGTGCTGGAAGGGTTGGAAGATACTCCTCTCATTTGACCAACCCAGTCTACTGAGGCCTCATATTGGCTTCGGCTCAACAAGGACTGTGGATTCTGGAAAATATGAATCATTACAGCGACCACAATATATGTATGAGCATGTGAGTATTGACTTGAAACATGTGAACCCATCCTTTAAAGAAGAATGAACAACAACCCTGATCACAAAAATCTGTAAGTGTACGAATGATAATGACAAAATAAATGACACCACTCATACAAGAGCTGCATTTATTTGACAGTGACACAGTGGTAAAGAGACATAATAAATCTTGTAATGAGGTACAGTACATCTTGTTATGAGGTACATCAGCGTTCTTATTGTATTTTCTGGAGGGCACTCACTTTTTCTGTTACTGTCCAAACTGTAGTTGGCAAAACAATACTGATTAATACAAATACCATGACTTAAACTTCAAAACCATGTAAACTGAGGTTATTTTGAGAAATAACACTACGTTGAACTATAAAGCTAAATTTTAATATTCACAGCCAAAGAGAGGCTGTATACATGTAAACATACTGCAACCTTTCTATGCTTCCAAACATAAAAACACACTACCTACAGTGCCAGAGAAAAATATAAAAGAGCAACATGTTCTGGAAGAACAGTTAAAAAAGAAATACACTTGATAGGTTTTTCCAACATGAACTGGTACATTCAAAAACACACACACACACACACACACACACACACACACACTTATCAGTCACATACATCAGGTTTGTGTTATTAACTTTGAGCTTGAACCGCTGTTAACTAAATGTAACACTGCATTGTATAGACCACCATCTGTAACTGTCATATATTAGTAGAGGTAAACATGAACTGAAACTCAAAAGCACCCTTGTAAGATTACACGGTCACGTGTAAAAACAAAAAAGAAGGAAAAAAAAAAGAGAAACATTTCCAAAAACAAAAAACAAAACAACAGTCTTTGTTTAGGTTAACAAAATCTGCAGAATGTCTGCATTTAGGGTCTATTTCAGTTAAAAGTGTATAAAAAATATTCATGGAGCCAATTATTTTGAAATGGAAGGAGTTTACCAGCAAACTTCATGTCCAACAAGCCTGTGGGAGAGATGATAAAAGAGACACGTTACAGGTTGCCGTTCATTACAACCAACCAACAGAAAAGGATTCATTAACACTGGAAACAGTCGTGTGGGTTTGTGTACCTTGGCTATAATTCCTCCTTTTCCACCTGCTCAACCTTCTCGTCTACTTTGTTGGCTGCTGCTTCTGCACCAGTGTCCTCTATATGAGCCAACATGTCAGCTGTGAGGGCTTCCTCAAGACGCCTCCTCACATTCTGCACCAGGTCTTCCTGCTTCCTGAGGGACGCAGACAAGGACAAAGTTAGACAAGTGGCACTAATGAAAGTAAACCTCGATGATGAAAAGGTTATGACAATGTTCAGTTATTGTCATTTGGTGGTCACTAGGGATGGGCGATATGGACTAAAAAATGTATCCTGATCATTTCTGGCATTTATCACGGTAACGATAAAAGTGACAATAAATAAGTTTTGCCTGAGTTGTTTGTTTCTTGCCGGAGGCTTTGGTTGAAGTTGACGCTGCTTCTGCATCCTTGCGCATTTTCTGGCTATCGTCGTATTCCG